ACAGTTAATCAGGTCTATTTTTATACCACTTTACCCTGTATGAATGAAACAAAAGTCAAATATACTCTGCCGTTTCAGCCCTAAATATTTTGTGTTTTAGAAAAATGCCTTTTTATTTTACTTTTATGAAAATTAGTCAATATTCACCAGACAAACTATCTTCATTTAGGGATTAATATCGCCACCATTTTATTATCTGTACTTTAATGACTGCTAAAATGCTCCAAAATGCGCATTTTAGACTGAGCTTGTTTAAAAGGCCAGTAGAAATTCTTTAACTGGCTTCACCGGAAACCGAAGGAGGATCGCATTGGAATTGTGACTTTAGATTGTCTTAACCTAATAATAGTTGTGATTTTTCGTAAAACATGGTTTCACATCGACAATATCACACACGATGCGAAAGTTTAACACGGATTCATTGAGCCCTCAGGAGGATGCATTGATTAATTCTTCGCACAAATCTAATCACAATTCTAGTTCACTCCGGCATACGGTGGAGTTAAGGTTGCCTACGCCACTCAATTTTAAAGTTTTATCTATGCCTATGCTATCGTCAGATTTTGGTACTATTTCGAATAGTTTTCTTACCACTTAATTTTCTCTTATTTGAATCGATAGTTGGCAATTCAAGCCTTCATCCCCAAAGCAATCCTCTTGCTGTCACTCTACCTGGTTCTGACACTACATCATCTGGCGGTCCACGTGTGTTTCTGGCTAGTCTTAAATCACTGGTGTCTGCTGCTGCTGCGGTCTCGTCAAATTTATCTAACTCAACTGGTTCTGCGGTGGTTTCAAACACCGCTCATAGCGCATCTCTTTTGCGCTCTGGTGGTGCAACCCTACGCGGCCCTCCTCTCTCTTCCAGTACCGGCGCCCTCATTAGCGTCGGGGCCGGTGGTAGTAGTGGTGGTTCTTCGGGTCATCATCAGTCCGGCTCCCGTCGTAGGCCGACTATATTGAAGCGACCAGGTGGTGCAATTGTAAACACGACTTACTCCCCATCAGCAAGTATGTTTGGTTCAGACCTATTCAATTTAATTTTATCCCTTTTGTTACTAAGTTGTCTATTTGGTCATCAAATTGAGGCAAGCTCTTATAATCCTTATGGGTATGTTAAAATGGTTTGAGCATTCTTTTTTTTTCACACAAAGTGAAGTTTGGTTAGCTCATATGAGCTAGCCCATCTATGTTTCACGGGGTAGAGAGTAGATAGTCCAAATCCTTAGTTGGACCAACTAGAGCTGAAAAAATAAATTAATCCACGTTAATTAACAATTTTAATGATGATGCTAATGTGACTATTGAGTGGATATTGAAGTTGTGTATGTTATGTATATTATCACTATCAATAGTAGTTAGGTCATTAGCCAGCAGATATACATAATTTTCCAACCTGTTTCTCTTTTATTACCGTTTGAACCATCATATGTTATGAAATCCCAATTGGCCTGCACC